CAAACCCTGATATTTTGAGCTGTGAGAGTCCACCTAAAATCCTAGCCAAAGCTCTGGTGGCAGCCTCTATAAAGGACCTATAGGAAGGGAAGGGAGCGAGAAAGCCATGCAATTTCATTTTAACTAAAAACATATTAAAACAAAAAATAAAACAAAAAAACAATGCAGCATCCAGGTGCAAAGCAAGCAAAAACTGTAAGGGTAAAAATTAAAACAGCTCAGCAGAGACCACAAACAACTTGGCAAAGACCGCAGGACAGCTTGCTGAGCTTACTGAGAGTAGCCATAATAAAAATATCAAGCCCCTCTAGGGACGAGGTGACCAGAAATGTAGAAACAACCAAAGACATATCTTGACCAGTCTAAACACACCCAAGTGAGTAATGGGCCACCTGGTGTTTATCCTAGAAGGTCTGAGACTTCATGGTCAAAACTAGTGGGCCATCCAACCTGTCAAAATGATTGCTTACGCAAAGTGCTGATGTTTGAAATATCCAATCATATGTAATTGCGCCAGAATTTCCCACTTTTCCCTTCCCCCTTGTGCCTCCCCCTATAAAAGTTCTAAATTTCCTGGGGTCTTCATCGAAATTCTCTCCCCTGCGTGGGATGAGTTTCGATCCAAGGGCCCTTGTTAGTAAACTGCCTTTTGCCATTGCATCAAGTCAGTCTCTCGTGTCTCCTTGGGTGCGTGCTAATTGGGACTTGAGATGGGGTCCTCTTTCTGGGTCCTTACAAAACCTGACTGGGATGCGGGAGGCTCCCAGCTATTTCCATCTACAACATTGACGCACAAGTCTCTGTCTGGTTAATGTGAACGCGACAGAGAGCTAGGCACTTTTGAACTCTAATGTCACTATACACAGTCTAAAGTAAATAGAGGGAGATTCATGCATTTATTTTTTCCTATTAGAACAGAGAGTTGAGTCAGTAAAGGGGCTAGACTTGGAAGAAGTAGCAGTTGATAGCAGTATGAGCAAAAGAAGTTGTAAAAAATCCTCCAAAGAACTAAGAAGATTTTTAATGTTGGTATTTGCTAGAATCAGATTAATGACACCATCATCTGATAAGCTATCAAAACTAAAGTATAAGCACATTGCACAATATTTAGTTATGAAGAGATCAGCTCAGGAACTTTGGAAGGGTCATGGGACATTTGCTGGATTAACATTCCTCAGGAAACAGGGGAGGGAACCCACCTGCGAGTGGGAAAGGCCCAGACCAAGTAGACACATTCTGCAGTACTGACCAACCCTTGCCACGTACAGACAAGGAAGGTCCTTGCCACCTCATTCCCCAAAGACCAATTAGTTTAAAATTCACACTGTTCTGCCAATCATATTGTGCCTAGTCACTGTTTCTTTTTTCTTCTTCTTCTTTTTTTTTGTTTTTCGAGACAGGGTTTCTCTGTGTAGCCCTGGCTGTCCTGGAACTCACTCTGTAGACCAGGCTGGCCTCGAACTCAGAAATCTGCCTGCCTCTGCCTCCCAAGTGCTGGGATTAAAGGCGTGTGCCACCACTGCCCGGCCTAGTCACTGTTTCTTTAATCTACCCCTAAAGCTGTATAAAAAGTGACCAAATGGGCTGCCTGGGGGTCGCCTCCTCTCCTTTGGGTGCAGGACAACCCCAATGCATTGGATCATTCTTTTTTTTTCGGTTTTTCGAGACAGGATTTCTCTGTGTAGCCCTGGCTGTCCTGGAACTCACTCTGTAGACCAGGCTGGCCTCGAACTCAGAAATCCGCCTGCCTCTGCCTCCCAAGTGCTGGAATTAAAGGCGTGCTGAGTCACCACCGCCCGGCTGGATCATCCAAATTCCTCTTGATTTTTGCATTAATTCACATCTCTGAGTAGTTCGCTCAGGGGTCTCGGGTAAACTAAGGATCACAAGAGTCTTATAGTTACAGTAAAAACATTGTTGCAGAATTACTAATCTTTTTTTTTTCTTTATAAAAGGTTCTCACTGCATATCTAAGCCAGGCCTTGAACTAAAAATCCTCCTGCTTCAGCATTCTAATTCTTTGTACTGTGGGTAAAGATATGAGCTACCACACCCAGCTAAACAGTGATTCAGAAAATCCCTTGGGGAGATTTGCCTGGGGAGACTGCCCACGGTATTAGTTTAGTCTTTCATCCATTTAGAATAATCCCACTTGCAGGAGCTCACCTATTGGAAGTATTAGTAAAAGCAACCATGGGAGGAAGTGGGCGTGGTCTTTAGAGGCTCTAAGCACAGTCCTGGGATCCACCAACTTCATTCTTCTCCAGACCAGATCCAGTGAGTTTCCAGTCTTCTGGTCCAGACACTTCTAGATCTATCACCTCCATGCTCTGAGGATCTGATCTCAGATCTGAACTAGTATTGCATCCCTATCAAGAGTTGCTGAGCACGGGGATAATTGCTTGGGTAAGTGTACAATTTGCAAGAGAAAATTTCTTTGTAGCTCTTATTTTTAACTAAATACAAACTTGCTTAGAGGTTATATTTTGCTATTCAGCAAAATCTGATTCAGTTTGCATTTGGGATTTTCTTGGAACATAGTATGGGTTAAGGTTATAGATAATTTTAAATTTATCATTATGCACATCTTAGTTGATCTGATGTACTGTACTGAGAGATAGTTTCAAGAGACTTTTCAATTTTGTGCTTTGTCTAAATTCTATAATATTTCAAGAGCATTCTGTGCTTAACAAATGCTCTGAATGGTCTAAAAACATATCAGAATTTAAAGATAAAGGAAAAGATAGAAGTAAAAACTCCAAAGAATTTTAATAATTCTTCTGTTGTAAATTATAGGAAGGAAGGTCTCACAGTGTAAATGGGGACTTGAGTATACCACATTGGTAGAATTGACTATTCCTGCTAGAGTTAGGTTTATTAGATTGGAAGGTTACATGTAATTAAAGTAGAGAAAACTAGCCACTCTATTTTATTCATAAGAGTACATTCTGGTTAAAATCGGATACAATTTTTCATTTCTGTGTTTAATCTGGATTATTTCTGTATACTTGTTTTGTAGTGAAATGTCTAATGTACAGGAAAAAAAATGCCAAAGGAAAACATGACCATCAGCTAAATTAAGGAAGGCGACGTTAAAGTCCCAATGTCTTTGTTAATCCAATTGTTGGTAGTGAGTATTAGTATTTGATTTTGAATTTCACAGAACTACCAGCTAAAGCAGTTGACTCCATCTGTGTCAAACTCCAGAAGCTTAATTATTTTGACAAAATTTGCTTCAATCAAACTGAGATTATTTTTTTGTGTGTAAAAGTTAAAAGAGATGGGACATGGGTACCTGTTGGTTGTTTTTTTTTGTTTTTTGGAGACAGGGTTTCTCTGTGTAGCCCTGGCTGTCCTGGAACTCATTCTGTAGACCAGGCTGGACTCAGACTCAGAAATCCGCCTGTCTCTGCCTCCCAAGTGCTGGGATTAAAGGTGAGAGCTTCATTTATGCCTCAAGATTTTCTCCCACAAACTCAAGGCAGGAGTTGTGTTTTTGGGAAGCAAATGAAAGGCCCCTCGGATAGGGGAGACCCCCACTCAAGCCACAGATTAAACCAGCATGAGGTTTAATGATTCCAGTATACTAGGGTTCCCTTGCTTGCAAGCAAGAAGAGAGAACCCCTAGTTGGAGCTAAGAATAGCTTTTATACGGTCTAGGGGGTAGAACAGAGAAACAGTGACTAGGCACAATATGATTGGCAGAACAGTGTGACTTTTAAACTGATTGGTCTTTGGGGAATGAGGTGGCAAGGACATCCCTTGTCTGTCTAGGTGCTCTGGGCCTTCCTCACCCGCAGGTGGGTCCCCTCCCTGGATGATTTGATTAATCAACCTCTCCCTTCTTCCTCTGAATGGTTTTTTTTTTTTTTTTTTCCTGAGACAGGGTTTCTTTGTGTAGCCCTGGCTGTCCTGAAACTCACTTGGTAGACCAGGCTGGCCTTGAACTCAGAAATCTGCCTGCCTCTGACTCCCAGGTGCTGGGATTAAAGGCGTGTGCCACCACCGCCCTGTCCTCCTCTGAATGTTAATCCAGCAAGTGTCCTGACTAAGGAATGTGCCCCTCCCGAGATATGTCATAGGACAGTTCGATTGTTTTAATTTTAAATTCAAACCGAGACCCGAAAGTCTTACACAAACAAGTGTCTATAAAGAATGCCCCTTGTATTCAACTTGAGGGGAGGCAGCATTCATATAGAGATGACCTGATATATCTGAAAAGCTATTGGAGTAGATTCTCTTCAGTTGGGAAGATCCACACTAAATGTTGGTGAGATCATTCCACCAGTCCATGAGGGCTCCAACTGAAGAAAAAGGGGAAGAAAAAGCTGAGCAGCAAGTGTTCCTTGCTTTCTGCTTCCTGATTTTGGAAGTCATGAGATCAGCTGCCTTGAGATCCTGCCACCATTTCTTACCATTATATCCTTGAAATAGGAGACAGCATAAATTCTTATTCTTTTAGGTATTTTGTAGCAGAAAGAAGAAAAGTGAACGATATTGCCTATAAAGATTCAAGGGGTGGGGCAGCGAAATCTGAATAATAAGAAACTAAAAGTCAGATACCAAACAAAATATTTAGTAGAGAAGGTATGAAGTAGGGTGTATTTTCTTGGGTAGACAACAAAAGAAGGAGCTGTTTTACTAACACACTTCAGTGAAAGGCAAGGCCAGCCTGTGGAGCAGAAGGACTTGGATCACTCCTCGGTGTTTTTTTCTTTTTTTCTCTCTACAACATTGAAGAAGAGTGTCTCTGGCCTTAAAAAACATACGATTTTGGGTTGAAGTCTCCAGGAGGAATGCAGATGATAGGATCTAGAGCATCATCACATCACACACATGTCTGTCAGGAAAAGTTCTTCTTTGTAGTATAAAAATATGAAGCGCCTGTATTGCCATAATCAGAATTTAACCAGAAGTTAAATTTTGAATCAAATTTTGTCCAATCTCTTGCTCCTCTCTGCTTCAATAATAATAATTCTGCTTTTTTTCCCCTCAGAAAAATGGAGTCAGACATTTTACAAGCCTCCCAGAAAACACTCAACTGTTTCATTTGCCTGGGCATCTTTACGGATCCAGTCCTCTTAAGGTGTGGCCATACCTTCTGCAAGGCCTGTCTCTTCCTTTTTTCAGAAAATATCCAAATCCCTATCCACTGCCCCATGTGTTGGCAACCATCCCGGTGGGAGTTCAGAACTGACCTTACTATGAAGAAGCTGATATCCAATGTCAGAAAAGAAAGGCTCATGAAGTATTTGAGTTCTGAGGATCACAAGTGTGTGACCCACAAGGAGAGAAAGATGATCTTCTGTGATGAGAACAGGGTCCTCCTCTGTCAATTGTGTTCTGACTCCCAGGAGCACAGAGGTCACAGACACTGCCCCACTGAAGTAGCTGTTGGGGAGCAAATGGTAAGTGATGTTTCTGAAAAAAAGAAAAAAAAAAAAAGGATGAGAACTTGAGAGAGTGAGGCTTAGCTGACCTTAGGAAGATGCTTATCTTGATTCCGATGAAGCCATTGTGTTCTGAATCTTGGCACTTTTAAAACAGCAAATGAAGAAAGGATGACTATAAATGCAAACTATATAAATGATGACTATAAAGCCAGGCAGTGGTGGCGCATGCCTTTAATCCCAGCACTTGGGAGGCAGAGGCAGGCAAATTTCTGAGTTTGAGGCCAGCCTGGTCTACAGAGTGAGTTCCAGGACAGCCAGGGCTACACAGAAAAACCCTGCCTTGAAAAAACATAAATAAATAAATAAATAAATAAATAATGACTATAAAATGCAAACATCCCTTGAGAGATGCATAAGTATAAATATCATTTCTAGTTATTGATTCATTATGTTCATGTCATTGCAAAGTATAGTTGTAATATCACACCTTTAAATCTGTTTATGACATGAGACTAAAATACCAAAATTACATAGGACTTAGCTTGTTAGAAGCATCTGGGTATCCCAGACAGATGTTAATTATTCAGACAATAGTCAACTACAGCCCCATCACTTAACCTGAAGACACGGTGGTTGTATTTTGTAATCCTATGGTCTGAAATCTAAATTTCTATAGTTACTAAAAGTAAAAAAGAAACACTACTGTGATCCTTCTACCCTCTCTAAAGTAATTGTGTTCAGTTCTAGAGTCTGTCCATCAGGTAACTAATTATTTATCTAAGGATGATATTGTTTTTTTTTTTCAAACAGGAGAAAATTCTAAAGCAAATGGAATCTTTATGGAAGAAGATTGAAGAACATCAGGAGAATCTAGAGGCAGAGAGGAGAATGACCACTCATTGGGTGGTGGGTAAAATCAACCAGAGGTAGACATGGTCAAACTTGGTCATTCACAATTTGAGGATCATGCATGGGATGTGATATTGATGGGTGACTTTCTGAGTGTTCACCACAGTGCATCAGGCTCCATGACCCCATTCGGAATTTCAATTAGTACGTGCAGAATTGCATTTTTGAGTGAACATATTAATTATCAATCAAAACCTTTTTTCAGCTATCTCAGGATCTCGTTTAATAGATGAAAATGTTAAGAGGAAAGGATGGGTTTGTTTGCTTCAGCTATTAATAAATAAGAAATGCATACAGTCAAAGAGCTTACATTTTCTGAAAAGTTGGGACAGTAAATCAGTGTGTGCAGCATCCTGATGGGATTTTGTAGGTGAATTTAAATTAAATATAGAGGGATTCAGTGGAGGGAATCAAATACTCTCCGAATGTGATCTAGAATTTCCCTTTTCCTTCAGGACTATATGACCCTACGTGAGAAAATGATCAGAATAGAGTACAGGAAAGTAGGTCCAGACCTCGAAGACGAAGAAAATCAACATATAAAGTGTATGAAAAATCAAGGCAATACTATTTTAGAGGAGCTCAGGGAAAGTGAAGCCATGATGTTTCACAAGAAGAGTCAACTAATAGAAGCCTATCAGGAGCTGATGACAATGTCCCAGAAGCCATATGAGGTGCTGCTGCTGCAGGTGAACATGGACGAGTGCACGAAACAGCTTTATTATCTGAGGCCCACATCCGTGACTCTTAACGGCTGAGATCCCTTTCTCTATCCCTTGCACTTGCTATCAGAAGATTTGCTTTCTAAGAAATCTGGAGAGAGAATTTCTGTAATAACCTAAAAAGAGCAAGCTTGTTGACATTGTGTAGTAGATTCCCCATTGAGTATCTCCTGATTTTTTGTATTTTGAAGCTTGCCTCTTTGGAACCCCAAACGGAGTGATTCCTGTTACCAAACAACTCTGTTTTACCTCTACTTAGATATTATGCACAATTTTAAAGTAGTCTACCATTTGTTTGTTCTGTTTGAAAGCTGTGTTTTTGAGAGTTCTTTGGGAGGAGGGGGACTTGATATATGTTCTTCATTTGTGGTGCACATTGGCCTCAGACTCACAGAATTCCTGAGACCTAAGCCCAAAATTCTAGAGTTACAGATATGAGGCACCTTGTAGGGGTTAGGTCTCAGTTTTGAAGTATCCTTAGTGAGCATATTTTTATACCTTGGGTACAAGATCAAAGAAAGTCTTCTTTGCAGACAGCTGGGTGTTACAAAGCAATGTACAACTCCTACCCGTATGCTTCTAATATGATTTCAATAAGAACTCCATTGTGCTAGTCCACTTCATTGGCATTACCCTGGGACATGAACATAAATGTGCAGAGTGAGTTGGTGTGGTGCCTGACAATCATCTTTATATATAAACCTTTATATATATAGAAAACCACATTGTGTGCTGTTACTTCAGATATCTAAGCTTTTCTTGTTTTGTTTGCAGGATTTGGATGACATGTTCAGAAGGTGAGTTTAGTTCTCAGTGTAAGCCAGGATACCCTGACCTCTGGTACAAAACTGAGCAAGCCCTCTTAGCAAAGTACAAATATACTTTATATAGAAACTACTTAATTGTTTATGGATGATGTGTTTGGGATTGTTTTCACGGATATGACTCCTGGCCTCCTATACCAGGCAGTGTCTTTTCTTTCTCCCTATGAATGAAGGGGTGTATGTAATGGGCGTGAGCTAAAATGTGTCATTTTTAAATCCTAACTATTGAGGTCCATAGGTTTTATTTTCCGGGTAGTATAAGAAAGGGGCAGGAAGCATGGAGAAAGGGGTTGGTAACAGGAAGGGCTTCAGAAAGAGCATCTAGGAGGAAACTACCCAGTCTCTTGATCATGGGGTCTCTGTAATATCACAAAATGCTTTGTGTGAAAATGTTCAGATGAGTGTTTACTTTTATTAATTTGATTTGTTATAAATATCTTTAAAAAAAGAATTAACTATTTATTTATTTTATGATTATGAGTTTATTGTCACTGCCCTCAGACACACCAGAAAAGGGCATCAGACCCCATTACAGATGGTTGTGAGCCACCATGTGGTTGCTGGGAATTGAACTCAGGACCTCTGGAAGAGCAGTCAGTGCTCTTAGCTGCTGAGCCATCTCTCCAGCCCCTTGTTATGAATATCTGTGTGAGTACACATGTGTGCAGGGCAGAGGACAACTCTCAGGAGTCAGTCCTCTCCTTACACCATAGGTTCCTGAGACTGAACTTCAGGTGTCAGGTTGCATGGAAAGGGTTTTAACCCCTGAACCTTTTACTTAGCTCTGAGTTAAGATTTCTCCTCATCGCTGGGATGATGATGTCTTTAGCACAGGCTGATCGATGTCTTCTCCTTGCAGGAGCGAGTTAGTGCAGCTAGGCATGCCGCAGGGTATGAAACCAAAACTCAGTGCCCATCCCAATCCTGGGCTGACTGCACGGTTGAAATTCTTCCAAGGTGAGTGTCAGCACTGATGTAATGACCAGAGGTGCCCTTCAACAGTGAGATAACCTTTGCACAATGAATATTTTAACTCCCTAGAAAGATATCTAGTTATGCCATATTGTAATCATATTTAGGCACATGGTCATTTTACAAGCAAAGATTAATGAATACTAATTTAATGATGTATATGATTCAGGCTGAAAGACATAGTATCACTTGTTCATTGAGACACACTGAATGATTGAGGACAGTTTAATACAAATTAAGTATAACTAGTGATTAAAAGTTTTGTATATTTTCTATTAAATATTTTAGCAATTGATTTTTTTTTATTTTGGAAACATGATTTCTCTTTGTAGCCCTGGCTGTCCTGGAACTAGCTCTGCAAACCAGGCTGGCCTCAGACTCACAGAGATCCACCTGTGTCTGGCTCCTGAGTGCTCTCATTAAAGACATGTGCAACCATGCACAGCTATCAGTTGAATTTTTAAAGTGTATCACATCCCATAGATTAAAAATTCTCAAGATATAGTGAAGCACACTTGTAACCCCAGCATAAAAAACATGGAATCAGGAGGATTGTCTAAGAGTTTGAGGCCAGGCAGGTTGACATAATGAATTCCATGCCAGTCAAAGATATATAGCAAGAAATGCTATCTTAAAAAAAAATCTACAAAAATGACCATAAAGTAACCAAATAGACAAAGCCATATATAATAGTCAATAAAAACAAAACAAGTTGATAAGACAGGAGGCAGTCTGAATCAGATCACGAATTGTAACATCACAGGGAAAGAACATCAAAGGAACTGGAGTTTAGTCAAAGGCAGACAATTGCTGCTAGGGAACAACTTCTAACGCATGCTCAAATTTATCTTGAGTACAAATCTGCTTACTGGGATCGAAATCAAAACACTAAAATGAAAGCAACCGTGACTTATGACTTATGAATGACTTTTCACGGAGACTCAGGAGCACAACCTTTACAGCTGTCCTCACTGCATTGCACACAGAGTCTGTTTGCCAGGTGTAATGAAAATCTGACAGAACTGTGCTGTTCTGTGCTGCGGCTTCCACCTCTGCAGCTTCTTCAGATTTCATTATGTTTCTTAGGAACTTGTTGACTTCGTTGACTTTGATGTGCTTGGTCTTGTGCCAGCCTTAGCCTTCCCATTTTTAAAACCCAGGAAATCTCTAGGTACCTCTCTCACCTGACAAACATAATTGGTTTAACTAAATGTTGGCTCTTCCCACAGAGAGAATTTTCTTTCAACATTTAATCACATTCAACTACAAGATGAGCCTATTTTTTGATATCAGAAGATTCAGTTTTAGACATCACCATCAAAACACATCGCTGGATTCAGCTGGATCCTATCGTGCTTCCTGGGGAGCAAAGAGCTTCATCACTGGAAAACACTATTGGGAGCTGGATTTGAAAAACTATGAGAACTGGGCTGTAGGGGTCTGTAACCGTATCTGGTTAAGGAGGAGACACAAAGAGATTGGATCCGAAGGTGCATTTCTTCTTGTGTGTTTGAAGGAGGGTGATCACTACAGACTCCTCACCACCTGCCCAGTATGTTACCACTATATAGAGAAGCCAACTGGCCGGGTTGGCGTGTTTCTTGATTGTGAGGGTGGATGTATAAGTTTCCTGGATGTAGCCAAGAGTTCCCTCATATACCGCTACTATCTTAGAACTTTACATTGCATTTTCAGGCCTTTCTTCTCCACTGTCTACACATGATCATAGGAAGCTGTAATCCAGTACAATGGTGCCTTTCCAGTATTTCTATGGTAATGTGTTCTCTCTTTATTGTGATTAAATATTGCGATGGATTGTATATGCTTGGCCCAGGGAGTGGCAATATTAGAAGGTGTAGCTCTGTTGGAGTAGGTATGTCACTGTAGATGTGGGCCTTAAGACCCTCATCCTAGCTGCCTGGAAGCCAGTCTCCCACTAGTAGCCTTCAGATGAAGATGTAGAATCCTTAGCTCTGCCTGCAGTGTGCCTGCCTAGATGCTGCCTTGCTTCCACTTTGATGATAATGAATTGAACCTTTGAACCTGTAAGCCAGTCCCAATTAAATGTTGTCTTTTCTAAGACTTGCCTTGGTAATGGTGTCTGTTGACTGTATTATTGTAGGGTCCTTGACTCCTGGCTCTTACAATTCTTCTTCCCCCTCTTCCACAGGGTTCCTCGAGCTCCAAGGGGAGGGACCTAATGGAGTACTACAATTTGGGCTCTCCATCTAATATATGGCTGTGAGTCTCTACATTGGCTCTAATCAGCTTCTAGGCAAAGGGTCTCTGATGACTATTGAACTAGGCCCCTATGACTATAGCAGAGTACCACTAGGAGTCGTTTCATTGACTTTTTCTTTCCTACCCTAGGTCCTTGGCTATCCAGACTCCAGTTTTTGATGAGCCAGGCATTGTCAGGCATTGGCCCCCTCTTGAATTAGACCAGCCATTAGTTGGCCACTCCCAGAAGTTCTTCTCCTCCATTGCCCCAGTACATCTTTCAGGCAGGATAGATTGTAGGTCTAAGGACTATAGCTGGGTCCATGCTGTCATTCTACCTCTGTAAGTTGCCTGGTTATAGAATATGGCTGGTTCAGGTTCTATATCCTCCATTACTGGGAGTGGTCTCTGTAGATTCCAGGGATTTTCCAGTTCACTAGATTTCTACATAAGCTCCAAAAGTCATCCAATTCCAGCTGTCTCTTCCATACTCGCTCCCTCCAGTCCTCCCTGAGAACTTGATCCCTCTTGTTCCCATCCCTACCTTCCACAGTCTACCCTAAAATTTATCCTATTTCCCCTTGTCAGTGACATATATTTGTCCCTGGTGGAGCCCTCCTTATTAATTAGCCTGTCTGGGTTGGTGGACTGTAACATGATTATCATTTACTTGTGAGCGTACACCATGCTAGTCTTTTTGGGTGTGTGCTACCTCATTCAGGGTGTTTTGTTTTTCTTCTAATTCCATCTATTTCCCTACATATTTCATGAAATTTAAAAAAATAGCTGTGTAATGTTCCACTGTGTAAAAGTACCACATTTAATTTATCCATTCTTCATTTGAGGGAAATTTAATGTCGTTTCTTGTTTTGGGCTATTATGAATAAAGCCACTTTGAACATAGCTGAGCAAGTGTTTTTGTGGCTATAGTGTGCCCTTTGGTTATATGCTCAAAGAGTGGTATAGCTGGGTCTTGAGAGATCAGTTCCCAGTTTTCTAAGGAACTACCATACTGATTTCCATAGTGCTTGTACAAGTTTTTACACCTGCCACAGATAGAGGATTGTTCCGCTACTCACCAGCATGAGCTCACTGATGTTATTGATCTTAACCATTCTGACAGGTATAAGATTGAATCTCAAAGGAATTTTGATTTGCACTTCCCTGATGGCTGAGGATGTTGAACATTTAAGTGTTTCTCAGCCATTTGTGATTCCTCTATTGAGAATTCTGTTTATTTGTGTACTCCATTTTATAACGGGACTATTTAGTTTGTTGATGACTAGTTTCTTGAGTTTTTCATATATTTTAGATATTAACCCTCTACTGAATGTGGAGTTGGTGAAAATCTTTTCCTATTCTACAGGCTGCTTATTTTATCCTATTGATTGTATATTTTTCCCTACAGAAGCTTTTCAGTTTCTTGAGGGCCCACTTATTAGTTGTTTTTAGTACCTGCTCTACTGGTGTTATGTTCAAGAAGTTGTCTTCTATGCCAATGAGTTCAAGCCTACCCCCCATTTTCTCTTCTATCAGGTACAGTGTATTTTGTTTTATGTTGAGGTCTTCAATCTACTTGGACTTGAATTTTGTATAGGGTAATAGATATGGATCAATTTGCATTCTTCTAGGGCTTGAGATCCAAATAGATCAGCACCATTTGTTGATGTTTTCTTTTCGCCATTATAAATTTCTGGCTTCTATATTAAAAATCAAGTGCCCATAGGTGTATGATTTATTACTGTCTTTGATTCCACTGATCAACCTGTTTTTATGCCAATACTATGATGATTTTCACCATTAATTAATTAATTAATTAATTAACTTTACATCCCAATTGCAATCTCCCCTCCCTCCTCCCCTCCCAGTTTTTCCTCACTTCTCCTCCTCCTAGCCCCTATCCCTTTCTTCTCAGAAAAGAAGCCTCCCATGGATATCAACCCTCATTGACATCAAGTTGCAGTAGGACTAGGCACATTTTCTCCTATTGAGGTTAGACAAGACAGCCCAATTAGGAGACAGGTATCTAAGAGCAGACAACAGAGTCACTTACACCCCTTGCTCCTGCATGGGCCCACATGATGACCAAGCAGCATATCTGTTACATATGTGCAGAGGGCCTAAGCCCATCCACCCATGCTCTCTGTCTGTTGGTTCTGTTTAGTTGATTCTGTAGGTTTTCTTGTGGTGTCCTTGACCACTTGGCTCCTTCAATCCTTCCCCCCAGTCTTCCACAGGATTCCTCAAGGTCTACCTAATGTCTGGCTGTGGGTCTCCGCATCTGTTTCCAGATGACAGTTATGCTAGGCTCCGGTCTGCAAGTATGGCAGAATATCATTAATAGTGTCAGGGAGGGCTTTCCCTTATGTCATGAGTCTCACATTGTGTCAGTCATTGGTTGGCCATTCCCTCCATCTTTACCCTTTTTTTTTTTTTTTTGCTCCATCCTTACCCTTGAACATCTTGTAGGAAGAACAAATTGTGAGTTGAAGGTTGTATGGCTGTTTTGGTGTTCCCATTCCTCCACTAAGTCTTTCCTGGCTACAAGTAATAGCCTTTCCAGGTTTTATATCCCCATTGCTAGCATCTTAGGGTTACCTTCAGAGATTCCTGGAGTTTCCCTTGTCCTAGGTTTCTACCTCTACCCAGAGATGCACCTGCCCCACCCACAACTGTTTCTAGTCCCCTCTCCTAGTTCTGTTTTCCTGACATCCCTATAATTGATTCCTCATGTTCCCTTCCCCAAAGCCTCCCCAACCCAGTTCCCTCCCTCCAACCACCCCAATGTCTATTTTAATTCCTCTTCTCAGTGAGATTCAAGCATTCCTCCTTGGGCCTTTGCAGAAGCCAGCTGCCAGGCAATGTGGGAACCACGACTGGAGGAGTGAGGATGATTATAGGAAAGGCAGAAAGAAGATGCCAAAGACAGGTATGGGAGGGCTGTTGGTGAATACCATGCCAGCAGCAAGTGTATTTTCTCAGTGTCTTTTAAAGGCAAGGAACACAAAGCATGACCAATTCCAGGAAGAAAAATAGTGACCACAAATTCTTATGTGGCAAATTTATGGTACACAGTATCTATGTTTGACTAAGGCTGTTTCCTTCTGGCTAGGACAGTCTCTCATGACATATACATAAGCAGAGAAACTTGTCAGGGAATAATGCATGTCTTAATTTAAGACAAAGACAGATGTTGGCAGACCCGTTCGTGAAACTACCAAATTTACTTCCAAAGAGCTTGTACAAGTTTGCACTCCCATCAGCAACGGAGGAGTGTTCCCCTTGTTCCACATCTTTGCCAGGATGAACTACAGATTTTTTTTCTCAGCCATTTTGATGAGTGTAAAATCTGAGTCATTTTGATTGGTCCTTAGCTGATAACTAAGGGTGCTAAACATTTCTTTAAGTGTTTCTCAGTCATTTAAGAGTCATCTGTTGAGAAGTCTCTGTTTGGGTCCATTTTTAAATTTAAATTTATTTCTTCAAATTATTCACTTTACATCCCACTCACTACTCCCCTCCCAGTCACCCCATCCCAAATCCTTCCCCCTCCACCACTTCTCCTCGGAGCAGGTGGGGGTCCCTCAGGGTATCCCCTTACCCTGGCACAAGGCTCTGAGTGGCTAGGGGCTTCCTCTCCTACTGAGGTCCCTCTTCTATCCTTCCTTCCCTTTAAAAAAGCCCTCTTTTTTCTCTATCATATTCTCATGTTTGTGTGTATATTGAGGCATGCCATGTTATACACACGGAGGTCAGAGGACTTGTTTTTCTCCTTTACAGTGTGGTACTTGGGGACTCAACTCAGTCAGGCTTGACAGCCAGGTACTTTACCGGTTTATCTGTTTATTTTTGAGCAGGTGCCCACTAAGTTATGAGTCTGGGCTTCAGTTTGATTTTCTTTTTGAGATCTTGTTTTTCTGTGTGTCTGTGCAACTGTGCACTGTGAGCACAGGTGCCCACAGAAATCAGAGGTGTGGGATCCCCCTGGGAGTTGGAGTTACAGATAGTTGTGACCCACCTGACTACAGATAGAACTGCTGAGACTTGAACTCGGGTCCTCCAGAACAGTAATACACTCTCTAAAGCAGTGTCATCTGTCCAGCCCCAGCCCTTCAGTTTGTGATAAGCCTTTAGGAACACTGTCACTGTGCCCAATGGTAAGTAGCAGCTTTTTAGTTCAGATGAGTGGCTTCATATCTTCGAGTCTTACATTTAAGTCTGATTCTTTTTGAGTTTTTAATTACTCAACCTGAGAGGCAGGGGTCTGCTTCCTTTAGTAATTACAGAAATAGTCCACAAACATAGCCTTTCTTTTTGTATTTTTATATTTATTTGTGTGTGCACATACATACATGCCATGATGTGAATATGGAGATCTGAGGACAACTTGGGTTGGGGGAGCAGGTTCTCAGGATTCAATTCAGGTCCTCAGGTTTGAAGGCAAGTGTCTATGCCCACTGAGCCATCTTGCTGGACCTGGAATGTGCAGTCTTAATGTTAAGA